GGACTTCTGGTATTTAATTCTGGCTGGTCTACTGCCGATGGTTAGTCAGCCGGCAAAAAACGGCAAAGTTGTTGTGAGACTTGCCCCTGCGATGGAGAACCTCGGTTTCCGTGGTAATTTCTAGAAAGCACCCTCCTATTCCACGTTAGCCCTTCTCCAAGCCTTACGGGGCAATTTGTTTTATAATTATAAAATTTATATCGAGGCCCAACGCAAGTTTGTGAGAGACCAATACGAATTTGCAGTCGTAAGGTCTCAGAAGAACACAAATCCGCATTATATGCATGCGCAGGAGTGCACGATTACAGGAAAGGGCAATGGAGAAAAAGCAAAACCTTGGCACTGTGGGGAGTCGAATCGTCAACAAGCCCTTCCACTTCCGATTCCAGACCGCACCACTAACCACTAGGCCACCCGACTACCGCTGTCAACCTAGCTTCAAAGTCGCTGATGAATATTCCACAATTGTTTCAATACATGCTAATGAGATCGTTTTATTTTTTAGCCGAATTGTGCACTGGTTGTCAATGTACCATTCATGATGAGCCTTTGATATGACACTGGTCAACGCTGTGTGGCGATGTACGTCAGAAAAAAGCGGTTAGAACGGCAGTTTCTTAAGAATTTTTTCTTCGCTCTTTTTTGGTATTCAGAGGGGCCGTCAGGAAAAACGAACCACAGCTTACTGTTTCAGCATGTGTCCCGATATCAAGGAAAAAACCGTTTTTGAAAAAGCTTGGCATTTTCCTGGAAGGACTCCCTGTTAGTGTCGTTTTTTCACACGAGTTTCGCGACTAACAATATTTTAATTCAAGTCCGGGCAGTGAAACAGCATATTCTCGGAGGACTCCTTAGCACTTCCTATTAACCGGCGATGAGTGTAAACCTCATACGATTAAAGTTAGGATTTTCTGAGTCGAAAAAGAGAGGCAGGCAGCGGGTTTTGAGATATCGTCTGCCAATCATCCCTCTCACTTTATTAAGTTAGGCCTGGACAAAAAAGTATACAATTAGTAAGAGTAGGGTCTGCGCGGTATGCTGAAACAGTGAGACTTATCAGCTCAGCTGACAATTATTCCCAGAGTCTTTTTGCCACATGGGGTCAAAAACGAACCTTTTTGACCACACGTGAGGCAGCAGATGAGAGCACATTTATTAGAATTCTGTGTGCAGTCAACTTCGTTTAATCATTTCTGCCATTATCGATCAGTCATGCTGCTGTGGTGTCCCACCATTTCAGCAACAAGGCTGGTGCAGCGTCTTCTCGACTGATTTAACTTGGGCCACCTTTTGGACGACGATTGGGGCATCACTTCGAAGAACAACACTGTCTTTTGAGAAAACTAAGGAAAACTTTTGAGCATATTAAATGGTAGTATTCCCTCCAACAACTGAAGTGTTGGTTTGGTGGGCGGATGTTTTAGCTGTAAGCAGAATTTTGAAGCATTTACATACATGCGATATTTGCAACGGACCTAGGAATTTTCAAAAAAGTATAAAATTGGTGTGAAAATTAAATAGTGAAGCAACAATAAAAACAATAAGAAACGTATTTCGCAGTATCGATAAGCGGAAGGATTTTCTGAGATATTGTTTTTAATCGTAATCGGCCCAAAATTCCTCGAACTTAGAAAAGCGACACTAACATATCCGGTACCTAATATTTGGGCCATCCTGGCCATCTCGCGTGCACTCGAGCTGCCGTAGTGGAAGTTTGAATGGACTTCGCTTCTGTTTATTTCCTTTGAACTTTCGTGACGGCTCTTTTTTACCTTCGAAGGCCGTGAATAGAAGTATTCTTCTCGGCATTCCTTTTTGATTTGACTTTACCACTTATTACAGAGCCAGACTTTAAAAAGAGACACTTCATTCAACTTCAAAACGGAATTATTTACGCGTTGGAAACCAAACAAAGTGATCCCACGTTGAAGAGCACGTTATAATCTATCAATGAGCTACACAACAGCCTTCTCAAGCGACGACATCAGAAGATTTTTCCACGGAAGCATTGTGCGTGGTACGATCTCAACGAGGTCGTTGAGATACCATAGACGACGTGACGACGTCTCTGAAACGCAGGTTAAAGCGGTTTTGCTCATTCACAGCTAATGTCTCTGTGAAGCAACTCAACAATTAATCACGGAAATTGTGTAGCAGCTTCAGGGCGGAGCGATTTCGGTAAGCCTCTTTGAGCTCGACCGGTGACGGCAGATGACGTCATATTCTGGAGACGGCGGGGCAGTGCAGGAGTGCTTGCTTCTGTTTACGGAGGAACAACTAAGGATATAACGCCATGAAGCTTTCATTAACATCGGCTTCTGTGTGACGAAAGTTCGATGATGTGCGCCATGGGCTGAGTGTCTCTTTTTGGCCACCCTGTATATTTATAAAGAGAGGTCTGTTGTCCGCGCGTTGTTGACGCGACTGCTAATGAAAGAAAAACATGTTAGGGATTGTAATTTCTGCCAATGCTATAAATGCAGCAAAGCAGAACTTGTTGAGGAGATTATATCTTCTGAAATTTTCACCAAAAGTGAAACTTAACAAAATCAAACATGTCAAAACAATATCTAGTCATTGGGCGTCCTTGTGACCAGGATACGTTGAACGAAGTCCAAGGGGGAGGGCGGTATTTGGCGACGTAGAGGGGGTCGTATTCGCAAAGGTCAATCGCCTCAAATACGTAGATGAAGAGCATACTTCAAGGCTTCTTTCAACTTAACCACAGGTGACTGCATGGCCACTTTAAGTAAAGAGTCTACTGCGAAGTGCCCATATTTGACTATTCACACACACAATATGCTCTCGAGGAGATCAACGTTTTCAAGACCTAAGTTAGTAAAAAGTGATCACTAGGGTAAAATCATGTTTTCGTGTTTCTTTCGATGGTGTACTTTAGGATTATCATACGCATTATTCTCGTTGAACATTTCCGAAAAAAGAGGAAACCGCCAGTGAAAATAGATCCACCCCAAGTTTCAGTTCCTTGACTTTCTGGAGCCTCAGTATATGTGATAGGTTTTGCATGTTCCCTTTTGTTAATATAATCACGATCAATTGCGTCAGCGGATGTGTCTTCTCGTAAAACAACGACCATTAAAAGTTTAAAGTTCTGTTTGCCTTTCGTGTGTGTCACGAATTCATAGCGCGCGCTCCAACAGCGTTGAGGCTCTGTCTTTAGATATGATTGTAGATGGTATGACGGAACTAGTATGCGAGGGAGTGTCAGAAGCTGATAAAATACAATAAGGCGCTAGAATGCAGGGTCACGAATCCATAGTGCGCGGGTCAGCAGCGTTTGAGGCGCTGTTTCTTAAAGGCACAACCCAGGCAGGGTCGTGTGAACTCTTCTCTTCGGTCAGAGGTATAGAACCTTAGGGACAATCACAAATGGTGGCGTTCACGTGCACGGAATTTCGTCCGACGAAGAACGCTTTGGGCGTGCAAAGTAAGCTGCTCGAGCTGGCAGCAACGAGCTCTCTTATCAGGCCGTTGTCTGGTGCTCTCTCATCTGATGCGCTCTCGCCCACACTCTCCTGTTCGCGCTTAGTCTCTCGTTTCTTTAGCCAGCCAATTAGGAAGGTGAGTGAGCCTCAACCTAAGCGTTTTCACGGATTCTTTTCCTTCTTTCTTCACTGCCGGCCACTTGGCAGCATACATTCACATTTCGTGTGCAAGAACCACACCAGTGCGATCCTGGGGCATGCCTTTAAATATCATCTAGGTGATGGGCCGGGACCTCAGATGGGTGGACGGAAAGTAACAGTAGCTGATAAGGGGTGATATGAACGAGCTTGGACCGGAGAGTCGCTTACTTGTTGTCTAGATGCGCGATGAGGAAGCATTCCATCTCATTCGCGAATTCGCAATGTCGTCGCCAATACCTGACTGTTTTCGACCGCTAACCTCTCCAAGCTTTATAAGATGGTCAGTGTTCATGCAAGCACGATATGCTGTTGGGTGTATCTACTGCAATATCATCGCCACGGCGACTCGTTCGGTAATTCTTCCCAACATCCGGAGTATCGTAGTGGTTTTCACGCTATGACTGACAATAGGCAGTTCACGTGATTGTAATAGTTATCTAAAGCTTATCGGCCGCTAGACAACTGATCTGTGCCTACGGCCCAGCAACATTGAGGCACTCCCTCAGGCATGATGTTGGTTGTGGGATGGGAACATATTCGACAGGGAATAGAAGGCGATAATAGCCGATAACATTCCATAAGGTGTGTTAGGTTACGGACTTCATAGCGCTCACCCCAGCATTGAGACGCTGTTCCTTAGATGTGATATAGTAGGAGGGACGATAACGCGTATGTAGGGGGACAGAGATGACAAGTGCTGATAAGGGGTGATACGAAGTGTAGCTTGAGGACGGAGTAGCCACTGAAGCTGTTATCTAGATGCGCGATGAAAAAACATTTCCTTTCATTCGTGACGTCGCTTTCAATATCGGAATCCATTTGACCGCTAACCTCCCCAAGTTCATAAGATGGTCAGTGATCGTGGGAACACGACTTGCTGTTGGGTGTATCTATTTCAGTATTATCGCCACGGTGATTTAACCGGTGAACCTTGCCAACATCGAAGTATGGTAGTTGTTTACGTTATGACTGACAGTAGGCAGTCCACGAAATTGTTACATTTACCGAAACTTATCGGCCGCTAGACTATACAATTTCCAAAAATGATGGTGTGTATGAGTGCTGACGAGCTACAGGAAAAGACTGCTTTGTCATCAGCACTAGAGCAGCCTTTCGTTATAACATCAGACAAAACTAATGGAATGAAATGGAATGCATGCCGTCTAATACAAGGGCTCGGCTATGCTAAGTTCCACTGAAGCGTACGTTTAGATGCATGCTGTAGCGAGCGGTGCCAAACTGGTGCGTCAATGAAGAGTCAGACCGAATTTGCAGGTCTTTCCTGGTGAGTATGGCGTGGCGTCTAGCTGGTATTTTCCTGTGGCATCACTTGTTGATAAAAGCAATACTGAAATGTCGACGGAGACCACTACATTGCCAACTAGCGAAATTTTTGATGAGCAAATGTACGGCATGATTTCCTGAATTCTCATTGTATTTACAGAACAGTGACTATTTCAGTGAAACGCTTGCTGAAGGCTGTAGTGTATTTCTCAAAGACGTTACAAAAAAATACACCAGCCGTGGTGCGAGAAAAATTGCTGTTAAGGATGTCACCATGGGTTTCCGTAAGGTTGTTGCATTTCATTTCGGAATAATTAGGAGATTGCCAATTGGGCTATCCTATTCATTGTAATTTCAGAACGAAGTCACTGCATTGCTGGGAGAGAATGGGGCCGGCAAGTCCACAACTATTAGAATGATAAGTGGTCACATCTCTCCTTCGTCTGGGTGGGTTCTGAAGCAGTCGACTGAAGTTGCTCTTGCAACCCTAATCACGTCAGCATTGCAGCGTCATCGTCGTAGAAGGAAAAGAAATCAGTGGCAATACTCGAGTGCACATCGGCATTTGTCCGCAACATAACGTGCTTTTTCCATACCTTACAGTATTCGAACATTTACGCTTCTACGCTATCTTAAAGAAGCACACGCTATCACAGGTAGAGCTTACCGATTTGTATAGTCTTTAACTTGCTCACCACCTAAAATTTTGGTTCTTGTAGTTAGCAAAATTCTGGTCTTGCTAAATGAAGACCGTCACGATTGTGTGCAAACACCTGAACGCATTGGAAAGAATTGGAACAGATTTGAAAGGATGAAAATTTCAGCCTCTTTTCCTGTTTGGGAAGCGCCACGAATTTTCGTTCACAATCATGCTAGTATCTATTAGGTTGGCAAGATTGAAATGTTGGTTCCGTTTGTGCCTTGCCTTTCAGGATGGAAGACCACCTATTCGAGAGTACGATTCAGCGCGGATATTGCTAAATCTTAGCCGCCTCTGAGTGTTCTTCGAGCCAAAACTTTTGCTCGAAAATGACTGATCAGAAATTCTTCTGAGCGTATATATTCGAGCAAGGAAAGACGGCCAACGAATTTCACTTATTGAGAAGTGACACATTTTCTCTGGTGCACTTTCAGCTATGGTTCCAGCTCTTCCAAAACTAAGGTAAAGGACTTGAGGACGAAGATTGTGGATTTTGTCCTCTAGCCCTAGATGACGGAGAAATAAAGAAAGCCAACGACTTGAGTTCTCAAAAAGCCGCACAAAAGTTGCACGGAGATTCAGTTGTGTCAACAGAAAAATTTAAAAGTTCCTACGTGGGACTGTTAGGGCATTTCAGTATGAAAAATGGATTCGGGCTATTCAGCGACGCGAGCAAGCAGTACTGATTTCCAATACTGAAACTTCGCTCCATAAGAAGAGGAAAAAGGTTCTTGACCTCGTGTTGACCGCATTTTGGTTGATTTGGTTTGACATTTCGTGTTGATCGCGGTTGGCGGCTGATGGGCAGCTGAGGGCCTCTCTGAAGCCGGACGTCCCGTCGTTTCATCGTGTGATAGAAAAGTATAAGACTGACCTATTATGGAGAGCTGATTATGGGTCAGACAATTACAGCTGAAACCTGCTCACAACAGCCCGCCTGCGTGAACCGAGCTCTGCGTCATCAAGGAGTGATTCGGCCAATGTAAAACTATTGCACCATAATGGAACACCAGATGTTGTGAAAATCACGCAACGAAAAATCGAGGAGTTGGGCTGGGACGTTCTACCTCCAGCGCCATACAGCTCAGGTCTGGCGTCGTCGGACTCTCCCTGATTCTGGTTAGTGCAACACTCCTTAGCAGCAAACCAATTCGATAACCGCGGCGACGTCAAAATTTGAGTGCCCAACTCCTTCGAGTGGAACCAGAAAGAGTTCTACGCGGTAGGCATCCATGCTTTGCGCTACAAAAGGTGATGAGTCTGTGACGAAGGTGAGAGAGGTGTTCCAGGGTGATGTCCTTTTTTATTGTTTTCATAATGAAAATAATTGATGATCGGAAACGACATTTCAGTCTGGCCAACCTAATAGCAACATTCGCCGGCCATGGAAATTTTAAGGGGTCCCTACAACCTGAGGTCTAGAAATTGGATTCGTTCACCGGTCCGGCGTATGGGAGCAGCTTCCCCCTAAGCTTTCCCTTCCCTACCAGTCATGAGCCGTCAATCACGCTTAGCGACGACATCTGCGAATACTGCATTAGAGCCCCAATCTCAACGATGTTGCGAATACTGCATTAGAGCCCCAATATCTATGATTGCTTCGAAAATACGTTTCTCATTTGTGCTAAATCCGCTCAGGATAATGAATTAGGTCATCATGCTTTGAGCATACCCTTTGTGAACTTCAGAACCGTTGTTGCTTATATTTCGCATGATTTCCACGAATTGTGTTGTTCTCAATTGGACGATTTGCGCAAAGATCCCACATTTGGAGCCCTTAACTACTCAGTGTGTGTCTGCAAAAGCGTTGAATAACGCTATTCCAGTGCAAATTTGCTATACAGGGAGGGGCAAAAAAGTCATCTTTCTCATGATACACATCAGCAAGCTTTAGTGGCAGAGGGTGCTGCGATTGATGGGAATCTTGCGAAGAAATTCCTAAAACGTCCCTCCATACGCAAATATAAGCCCCCGTTCACCTCCCTCTCCGGAATACAAAGTCATTCGTCGTTGTCATCCAAGCCAAGGAACTACCGTACTATCTCAGCCTGGAGCAGCTACATTTTTCGATCGATTCACTGGAGTTCAAGTTCGTAGAGATAGTAATTCTGAGTGTGCGGGATCCCTGCCAACCAGCATTCCAGAAGATGTTAGAATAGACCACGATCCGTCGAGAGATCGCGGTGAGCTAAACCAGGGTCAACCGTCCGTTGGACAAAGTCCAACGCATGGCTTTCTAGCGTGTGAGAGTAATGCCGAGAGTGAACGTACGCTCGGAGACACAGACGGCTCGCGCAAGGCGAGGCGAAGGCCGTATGCCGGCGCATGAGGAGCGGTCAGCGCTCAGGTCCCAAACGCCGGCTCCCAATGTCGGTCCAACGTAACGGTTGACCCTGAGCTAAACCCTTCCAACATGTTGCGAGACGGATTCTTTCGATTCCGCTAGTGTAGGTGGTCAACGGTACGTTTCATAATTATAGACTCACCCTCAAATTTCGCATTTCCAGAAAAAGCAGTCTTTTTTCCGAACTTTTTTTGTAACGTTCATTGCACTGTCTCATAATTATAAGCTCACCCTGAAAAATGAACATTTTCTCAGAAGAATCAACAGATATGCTTTCAAAGTGATATCTCTCACTAATAAATCTTTGAACTGCATTTTCGGAATGTTTCGTGGCGGTCTTTTGAAGAATGAGCAAGACTTATGCGTTTTGACATGCTGCGCTCGGCACAAGAGTGGTTGCGAAACATATCGGAAAAGTTCTAGCTCGTTTCGAGGATTTTTGAGATTTTACCGAGCTTTCAGGTGTTCTACAACTTCTCCACACACGAGCATTTACTATCAACGATTCTAGAAGAATTTTGAAGGCAGTTCTGAACAGTACCCTCTGTTGAATCTAGATGCTCTCGCGAGTAATACTTCTGTGCGGGCTGGGGTGTGAAGAAACAGGGACATTTCCAGCAAGGCGCTGAAGATCCTCCCAAGTCCCAGTGACTACAACAGAAATTCACGACTCCAATTCTCAAGGTTGAACTTAGATAGAGATTCGGTAAAGTACGCCTTCGTCAAGATGGCATCATGCACCTTGTTAGTCTCGTTGGGATTGGTTTTTTCTGCATAAAGAAGGCAATGGGGGACGTTTTGAAGTCTAAGTTGCTTTCCATAATGATGTTATGATGAAAATTTCCTTGGTGACCTGCAAAACGAGTTCCACAGATTACCACTAAGTCTAGCAGCAACATATAGTGCTTTCTCCATGCCTGCGGCGTATATACTTTGACAGCAAAATCTGCTGTCAACGTAAGTCCCTCAGCGAAAGGTTGGCTGCATTCCCAAAACATAAGCGTCCGAATGGAGAGGGTCTAGAGCATCATCGCCAGAAAGTCTTAGCGAATAGCCGTTACTTACAGAAATTTTGAAATAGGCGGCCATGAAAGCTTTGACGAGTCGATAAGGGAGTGCTCGGAGGTTCTTCTATGTCTTGCTTCAACAAGATGGAGTCCCAGACAGCGTCAACCCTATCGTTGTTACTCTTTGGACATTTTTTACGACCCCCCCCTTCATGGGTGAATTGATACGACCCCCTTGTATGTGACACTTGTGTAGAGATAGTGTTTGCCATCAATATTTATTTCTATGTAAGTCATCAAAGATGAAACTTCAGCAAAATCCACGACAGATATTGATTATTCCAAACACGAAAAAATGAGATGAACTCAAAGATATCCGTGTAATCCAAAGGGTTAGCAAACAAGGAGATGAAATAAACTGAACCAGTGACCGGAATGTTGACAGTATTACCTGATAAAAACTTATGAAAAGTCAGAAAAAATTATCGCTCCAATTGAAATACTGAAATCCTCCACGTTCTTCACTTGCAACACAATTTTTACACCCCCTTTCTAAGGCTATAACTTCCTTCATATTCGAGCTTTTGCGCCGAAGTGATTTGGTTTGGAAAATTCAAATTATTCTCTCTCAACCATGGGTAGAAATTTTTCGAAAGTTAATTCAGTAAAAATTTAGTACCGTTGTTACTTTTTTTCTGTGCAAAGGCGACTTTTTGACCTTCACACGATCATAACTTCTAAATGTCATTCATTTGGGAAGCTGAACACGTGTAATAAACTGCAGTATTCAAGCTTTCTCACGAGCACCCAAGCGTTCCTGAAAGATCAGTAGTTCAAAAATTAGTCCCGTTGTTACTTTTTTGGGGGTTTGCGTAACAATTATTTTGGAACCGCGACTTTTTTACCTTCTTACGATCATAACTTCCTTAAATGTCATTCATTTGGGAAGCTGAACACGGTATAATAAACTGCAGGTTTCAATCTTTCTAACGAGCACCCCAGTGTTCCTGAAAGATCAGCATTTCAAAAATTAGTCCCGTTGTTACTTTTTATTTTGTGGGGTATTCTTCAAGCCATTTTCTTAAAAACGCAAGTTTTCTTAGGTTTTCACTGCCCGTAACTTCTTGGAAGACCAATTTTTGCGCGCCACGCCTCGGGCGCCCTTCTAATTCGTTGATTCATTCGAAAGCTCATTTAGAGGGAAGCGTTGTTTATAGATGCTCTATTACCAGTCATCTTACGAAAACGTAACGTGCTGGCTATTATCCGATATTACCAAGAATCCCACTGTCGGCCACTGAGAGGGTACGACCCCCCTCCAAGCTCAACTGAGTACGACCCCCCGTTGTTACTCGTAACAACGCAGGGTTGACCCTGGTCGCAGATTATCAGCTCTCTCACGAGTGTCAGTAACATAAATAAGTTGTTGATTTTCTCTGGGTGAGCCTATAATTATGAAGCGGTGAAAAGCGAAAAGAAAAACTCATGAAAAGGTTCAGAAAAATGGTGCTGCTAAAAAAATTGGATACGGGTGTTATTCGTGCTGGGGAATCCGCTGATAATGCCAGGAAAATTCCATTCCTGAGTTCGCATTCTGGAAATACAAAATTCAAGGGTCGGCTTATAAATATGAAACGCACTGTAGTTGCCTAATGAAGGACTGTGCTCTCACTTATCAGGCAATATCGTCTCTTTTTAGTTTGGTGACTGATTGTTAAGTTGCTTCCTAAAAATGGGGGAGAGCGTGTCTCTTTTTCGCCACCCCTGCATGTGTGTCTATCGTATATCGTCAAATCAGTTGCCGCCTCGTGCTGTAACAAAGCTTAAGTGCTTCATACTGTTTTGCCCAGTACAGGTACAAGCAAAATTTTGATGCGGCACAAAACCAAGTCATTATGCATCATGCATGTACATAGTTGTGCACTTTACCTTGAATTTCTGCTTCCTTAGCAAGAAGTTATCCGAGCCTCGGAAGAAATGATTGTCGAACTTCGTTTGGAAGACAAGCGTGATGCACTCGCATCTACTCTTTCTGGTGGCATGCAAAGACGACTCTGTATAGGAATCGCCTTCATCGCAGGTACGCACTAATTTATTATATCTGCACTGCCAAATGACACCTGTAGTGGTCGCCACAAATTCAGTTCTACAAAAGGCCTTGGCAGTCCTCCAAATCTTGAATTGCTAATAGGTTCTTATATAGCCAGTTGATGCCACACGCGTTGCGCGCACAACACCCCTGTTCTGCGGCGATAGAGATGGTGCGGCGCAAGTTCTCGAATTTGGTCCCGTATACTACGAATATCTGAATTCTGGGCTAGATTCTATGCGCTCCATCCCCCAGTGGCTTTTGACCTCTCCTTCTTCGTCAACAATTCTTTTGTCCTTATAAGAAGAAGGATATTCAATTAGTTGAAAAAATCCAAAATAATTTCACCCGGAAAATGTTTATCAGATCAGGGGAATTCGATTATTCTAGACTACTTCATGTGTCTCGCAGGAATCGAGATTACCATTTACATTCGCTTTGCTCTCGTAGGAAATATTTTGATGTCTGCATGGTCTTTAAATTGTTGCCGGGTATTGCCAAAATTGATGCTTCCAAATTCTTTGGTCTGGTCAACTCTAGAACTAGAGGGTGGTCAGTAAAAATATCCTATGCCACTCCTTAAACGAATCTAAAACGTTATAGCTTTGCTTGTCGTACAGGATCTGAATTCACTTCTCTTAAAACTACAGTAGTGATATCGCCTCTAACCTTCCGACTTTTCAAGCGTATAAGTAAGAAGCAAGTGTTGAGCTTTAGCGAGCTTTAACATTTACTAGTCTATATATCAGCCGTTTGCCTTATGCACAAACGTTTGTAAATAATATAAATAAATAAATAAATGAAAACAAATTCCTATCTTTTCCGGTCCCGCCTGCCTCTAGACCGATTCATAATTTCGGGGTAAATCCAGCCCAACCTATTTTGTTCGCATTTCTGCAAGTTTTCCTCGTTCTCTGCACTGTAATTGCGCGATTTATGTTTGGCGGCAAAACGTGTCCATTTTGGTGATACTACGCCCACCAATGGAAGACCATCCTTTCCTTCGCCGGCCTCTATTCACTTTTTCTCGGTTTCCGAGACCACCTGGAACCGAGCTATAAGTCTGGCAACAAATTCTTCCCACTTCGGTCATGCCCCTCCCGCCAATGGCGGTCGAGCTTCTTCCTTCTGCCAACCTCCATCCGTTTTTTCCCAGGTTTCCATGACTTCTCGAAAGCAAATTATGAGTTTTGAGGCGAACCCCGCCAAATTTTGTGCGTGCACCGCCCATGAACAGCAGTTCCCATGAACAGCAGTTCACTAAGCCTTATCGTCTCCATAGTAATGACGGGAGCACTTCCGTTAATAACGAATATTAAACACCTTTTCAAAGCAAACGCCCTTTCGCAATAATTCTTTTTCTTCTAGAATTAGAAAGGTTCTCTAGAATAAGATTAATATTAATATTGATGTCAATAGTTAAATTAATATTATTATTACTGATATTAACGAATTACATTTCATAAGTTAAGTAACGTGAGAGACGTGAGAGTTATTAAGTCGCCTGGTCGGTGGTAGACAGCGGTTCTTAACCGAAAGGCCATGTTCCTACCAGAGAACTGAATAATCTGCAGGTGTGAGGGTTCTAACGAATTTGGTATTAGCGCCGAAGGTGCTATCGATAAAAAAACGCAGCTATTCATTTACTCAAGCCCAATACAGCCTTTCGATGTAAGGTCGATAATCTTAACACAGCCACGCCGGCGCAGCCCATATAGCCTGCCAAGGAGTTGTGCTCGTTTGACGATGGCAGCCCATATGGGCTGCCAGCTGATAATCGCTTGTCAGGCGCTATAAATGGAAAAATAGGTTTTGAACCTCGTAGTCCGGTCAAAGATGCTTTTAAATTCCTTCACGGAGAGTTTGAATAAATGCTCTCTTTTCGTTACCACTACTCGTCTTGATCGAAATCCCACTATTGTATGTCTAGATTACCTTTACGCATTGAAAATTACCGGGATTATTTCGTGACCTTCATGTTTTTGTTCATGGGATGTGAAGAAGTGAGATGGGCAGCAGCGCCCACAAAATCGCGCCCGCTAGGGGCGCCGTCGTGATGTGTTAATAGAAGCATTCATGCCTGAGTTGTCCAAAACACTTGCAATTCTTCGCATAGTAATTTTCAAGATTAGGTTAAAAGCAACCATGCAAAACACTTCTGAAAAAAATACCCAAAATTGATCCCACCCAATAACAATTCAAATCCTTGGCCATGCTAATATGAGACCGCCGTATTACGTTGGGCCACCGGTCCATATCCAAAAGTATGTACGTCTCTACTTGCGCTGAGCTTGAGTTTGCTCCGTGGCATAGAAACTGCCCTGAATCTTGGAAAATTGTTAAGGAGACACGGAATACGGATTTGGACCAGCGTTTGCTTGATTAGTCGGAAATGAGAGCTCTCGTTGAGCGCCGCACTGAAAAGAGTCATCACACGGCAATTGAGCCCAACCTACATATTTGGAATTTACGGTCCCGCAACTTTTAGAGCATTTGCTTCTAGACTGTGCAACAGTTCCCAAAAGCAATCTGCATTGAAGGCGGAATTCACAATAAGAGCGAAATTCAAAGAAGGGGAAAATTTCATAGTTGGGAGACAGGCGAACCTCCCTCAGAGTGCTGACCAATGTGCAATTGGCGTCGTAACATTGACCACGGCGATCTAGCATGGTTCACTCCTAGCGCGGTTGGCAGTACCCCCACAGAATATCTATTCATTCGCCGCAGGCATATGTATACGTCACGAGTGGTTAGGTAGAAGAGCGAGCTTAAAAGGAAGGTCTTTCAGGGCGTTACGAGCTTTTTGAAAACGGTCTTTTGCATGATATAGGGGCAGATGGGGGAACCACAGAACCATGTTCAATTTTTCCTGGACGGCCCTCTGAATACCATAAAAGGGGGTCCCTAGTTCGATTCCTCTTGGTGACAAAATTTTTGCATTTCGAGTTGACGTTCCAAAATTCGCGCAAAATGGAGTTCTGATTGTTCTGGTTGGTTCTAACTCCATTTTGCGCGAGTTTTGGCACGTCAACTCGAAATGCAAAAATTTGTTACCACGAGGGATCGAACTAGGGACCTCCTTTTCTGGTATTCAGAGGGCCGTTTAGGAAAAATTGAACATCTGTGGTTCCCGCATCTGCCCCTATATCATGCAAAAGACCGTTTCCAAAAAGCTTGTCAGGCCCTGAAAGACCTTTCTGGTTAGTGTTCAAGAGGGCACAGCGATGAGAGTCGCATCAATGCGCAATTCAACGGAAGAGGAAGGGGTCTCATTTCTCGGGTTACGCGCCGTTTTGAATGGTTACTTCTTCATCCCTGACATCTCCACTGTCCACCTCTTCCCTTATTTGAGCTAAATTTTCATTGTAAATCCTGCCTTTGAACTATTGCGCGCCGTTCGATAAGAAATCAGCCAGATGCAGCCATAAATTAGGGAAGTGAGACAGCTTAATTTGACAGCAGGTTGAAACATGAAACAAAAGCACTGCTGCATTCCCTATATTTGACTGATGCTGCATATGGCTGCGTAAACTCTCACGGATTTGTCGCGAACATATGGGGCCTAATGGAGATTTTCGTGAGATTTCTTCTATAAAGCTATTGTTTTCCGTTAACAATTGCCTTTGGAGATTTGCGGCCTCTTTCTGAAACAGTCTTAACCAGCCTTGCGTGTCACTGCTATCTCACCTCTTCATAGGTTCAAAAATCGTCATTCTTGATGAGCCAACGGCTGGTATCGATCCATTTGCTAGACGTGCAATATGGGATCTTATATTCAAGTACAAGAAAGACCATACTATAATCATAGCAACTCATTTCATGGACGAGGCTGACATCCTCGGCGACCGCATCGCGGTTTTGTCGGAGGTAACGGATAGTATTTTTGAAATTGATTGTCCAATTGTTTCTTCACAATCACGTTTAGGGTACGCTGAGAGCAATGGACAGTCCCTTAGGCTTGAAAGAAGAACATGGAAACGGCTACAGGCTCACGGTCGCACTAAAAACGGAAAAGTGCTGAGCAGGTTCTCACCATGAAAGCATTGATAGAGTGCAAGTTTCGATTTAGTGACAGCCTCGATGATTTCCTGACATGGCTCAAGTGTTATGGTGAAGATGTTGTGGTCCTCGACTGCTACAACAAACAAGCCGAACTGGGTCTTCCTGGGTGGAAAAGTTCCCAAGTGAGTTTTTGACTTTTTCGTGATTATTAACTCTTTGACGGCAATGGCACCCACCGCGCCACCCTGTCCGCCGCGTGATACAATGGCGCGCTGCCAGCGTAATCCATCACGGCACACGTGGTCTCTGCGTCTCTCACGTATGACGTACTATCTCGCCTTCTCCCTCTCCTCGCAGCGCTGTATCTCCGTCGTACCACGGCCGGCCTCCTAAGGGAAATTTAGTGTTTTCTATGGTGGTTTTTGCCTTTTCTCCTCACTAATATAGAGTGGCAGTAAGGAGAACAAACATGCCGTTGTTTTAGCACCATCTCGTTCAAGCCATTCTTTGGTAGATTGCGGAACATTGAGAGACGCGTGGTCCTGTTACGAAACATGCAACCTTCGCTGTGCTCCTCTAAGAAAATGCAACAGGTTATATTAGAGCACTGCTTGCTATTCTTTGTTCTATTATCTATTCATAAGCAATAACGGAACGGCAACCTTCAACTTCTCGCTGCTTGCGAAACCGCCCCAGACCCATCAACAAGCTTTCTCCGAGAGTCCTCGAGAACACGAGCGATTCATGGCCAGGCCTCTCCAGCAGTAGGAAAATGGCCCGTCATGATCAAATTTTTTCCATGAGTTAGGACTACCTGAGAAGGAAAAGTGCATAAATTTTGTGCAATAAATATATATTATATATAAAACGTTGTTTGTCTTGAAAATAGAGAACCCGAGGAACCGTATCCTATCCCCGTGTCCTATCCCATGTTGCTGTGTCTTCGCGAGCAGACTCCAATCTTGCTAACTTGCGCTGAGCCTTGAAGAGAGTAGCTTTCCTCAGCGTCTGTCGAGCGGTGTATTCATATGAGCGGATGAGGCGCCTAATGGTCGTTTTCAAAGCTGGTATAACCATCTGAGCTCGGACAGACAACGAGTAATTATATAGGATGTGGGCCACTCGTTTGTTGTTCTGAGCAATGAAGGATCGTGGATGGCACGTAGTGTGTGCTGAGTACAAATATCAGGGTACCGGATGAATCTTCCAATGCATGAAGGAGAGCGACCAAGTTGTCGTGCGATTTTTGGATGGGGCACCCAGTATCATGTAGAGCCCTGATCTGAGCTTGTGCTTGTTTATCTTCAGGAAGAAGTATGCCACGAATAGGCATGATGACGATGTTAAAGCAGCAAGTCCGGATCGAAACCGGTGGAAATTTCGGCCTCGAAATCTGATCTCCTTGAAGCGTCCGCGTACTTCTGAATTGACAAAAAGAATTCAATCGAAAAATTTTCTCACGAAAGCAAGGCGATATTATCTGCTCAACTTACACTGATACGATATCGACTACGAGGAATCGATTGGGGAGGGTTTCACTGCACAAAGCCTCTTGATTACCTTTTTATCGTGGATTTTGAGGTGTCCACATATTTTGAAACGCTTTGTAGTACTCTTGTAAGTCTCACGCGAGACATTTCACTTCTCATGAAGTACTGATTCTTGTCTTGCATAGATGCACACATAAGTATAATTTTAGGTGGTGGCAATGCTTGGTGACATCGAAAAACGCTGTAGTGCTGTAGAGTTCCCGATCAGGACATATTCGATAAATGATTCAACTTTAGAAGAGGTCAGTCCATGCATCTGCCAAAAATCTATTGAACCATTGAAAAAACTGTTTAGGTGTTTGTTAAATTAGTTGGGAAGCCTAGTAGCAGAGGAATGCTACAGACTTTCGAGGACCACAGCGCAGCAGAGTGAGTTAGGACCCATTTCTGAAATTCTTACATCGTGAAGCTGATCCTTCTGGAAACCCTATAGTCAGTCAAATTTAGCAAAGATTTTAGTACAAGCACATAGTCTATGGCAGCTGGTAGAGTTGATCAAAAAATACGGCGTGTAATAACACTCCGGAAATTCAAAGTTTAATTAGGAGTACGTGACTTATCCCAGGAGAGCAGGTCAGCAGTTTAAGAAATTCACTGTATTCAAGGGAATTGAACCGTTTTACTTTCGAGTCCATGGTAATGGTTCGTTAGAATTTTGACTCTTTTCTGTTTGTTAACTGCTGTTTTTAGTCGCAGTTCGCCTTGCGAATGTTCACAGGAATGCTGGGTTGTGAAAATAATTTTGCACCAGACGGGATTCCAACCCGCACCCCTCGTTTTGCGGGCACGTGCGCTACCAGTTACGCTATCGGGGTACCATTTCATTACAACTCAGCCCTCATGGTACACTTACCATAGCTTGTCAGCACTCACACGTATAACGTGTTGAGCCGGTTAGCCGATATCGGCAATGACCGCGAGACTGAAAGCTTTAGCAATGAATTTTGACATGTTTTTGTTTGTTAACTGCTGTTTTTAGCCGCACTTCGCCTTGCGAATGTTTCACAAAACGTTTTGAAACGTTCATTGGAATGCTGGTCCAATAAGCATTACGTTTTACTTGGATCCTAATCTTCATTGGATACTTTGATTCAATGAAGCATTTCTTTTTCTGTGCAGTTAGTTCACAAGAACTCCAATTCTGGTCTAACAAATCGAGTCTGCTCTTTCCGCTCCATGTCATTGTTGTGTCAAAAATTCCATTTATCCCATCCTACTATATGTAATTCGCTAAGCATGTCTGCGTGTGTTTGTCATGAAATTCGTAGCGCGCGTACCAGCCCTGGAGTTGTTTTCGATATATAATATGAGGAGTGGGACGTGAACATATTCGATGGGCAATAGAAATTGATAACTACTGATAAGATGTGTTAGGGGATGTTAAAACGCGGACGTCGCGAAATGCATGGAGCGGGACCCAGTAGCAAATAGGCGTTGTCTTCTGAACACGATGTGGCGGGCGGACTCGAGCATGCTTGGTGGGGACCAGAACGTAGCTGATCGGGCCGACGAGAAGCGTTGGAAAGAAAATTTCACGACACTGACAGCGCAAGGCCGCAGCAACACCGAGGCATCGTTCTGCTATGGTGTAGGGGGTGAGACGGGAACATATTTGATGGAGCAGAAAGTGATGATAGCTGATATAAGAAGCGTTGGACGGAAAATGCCACGACGTTGACGCGCAAGCTCCCAGCACTGAGGCGTTTTTCGCAGATATGATGTAGGGGGGGGGGACGGGAACATATTTGGTGGGGACCAGAAAATGGTACCAGCTGATGGGGGCTGATAAGGATCGTTGGAAGGGTGATGCCATCGAAGTTTTTATCCAGATATTGGATTAGGCATATCATTTCTTCGCGAAGTCGTCGTGATCCATTCGACCACTCATCTGCCCCAGCTTCTTAAGTGGTCGGCGTCTTTGGAAATATGATAACTATTGTTGTTTCTATCTCATCACCAGCATAAGAAGTTATTCGACCGCTTGACTATCCCAATGTCCAAAGCATATGAGATGTTCACACTGAGGGCCGGATAATAAGCAGCCTAAGTAATTCTATCAATCATCCAAAGTTCATTAGGATGCTAGACTTTGTTAGTGCCAGAAAAATTATGGATGTTCAATGGTATTGAAGAATTCTCAGAAATTGCTGCTGTCATCGTCTGATTTCCTCAATACCATCGGTCAAATACCTTGAAAGCAGTGTGATATTTGATACAATGGCCGGCTATGCTCATTTTCAATGAAGCCTATTTTTCATGCGCGCGAGAGCGGACGGAGCAAAATTGACATGTTATAATGAGCTAAACGAAGGACTATCTTCCTCGGTATACTTTTGTACGCAGCCATTTCATTGGACACAAAATGTAGGCTAAGGCAGGAAGTCTGAAAAGTCCTCATAGATAGGATTCCTTCCTTTTGTGTTTGATTCCCGGAATTGGACACCTCGAATGAGATTTGTTGCTGATAATACTAGGAGAAAAACCTGACGTTATCCTTTCAAGGAGTTTGAACTTTGATTGAATGAGCGTGACCCATTGAGCCGAACTTTTTTCCTTGTCGCCAATCCAATCCAGGCGAGGTGTCGATGTGCTGTGTAGCGCCTTCTCGTTGGAACGTTTCTACAATATCGAACCATTCTTAGCCGACGTTGTGCAGAGCTTCGCCTGGCAGAAATTGCCGAGAATATTGTTCCTTTATTGAGAATACAAGGGGAGAGGACGAGTAAGCCACTCCCGGCTTCAAAACATGAAGGAGCTATCTGGCAAATCTTTCGTCTGTAAACAAGTGATTTGTATTAAAGAAGGTGATACTATAAACTGACCGCTAGTGTGGGAAGGTATGCCATGTGCAGAGTGATTCTTTTTGGGCCTTAATTCCAATCGAAGAACTCCGCAGAGATAGAAATCTCGCATGCTTTCCTGTAGTCGGCGGAACACCGTGCCGTGGATGGGTGTCGCTAGCGAGATAGGCGTCTAGCCGTAATGTGCGGAATGTCAACGATTCTAGGCTATACTTTACTTTTATGGAAATATAACTCCACTCAGCTCGTCGTGTAATCTGCCTCGAGAAGCATTATTCACAACTACAGTGGCACAGACGTTTGTTGTGAATGAGGAGGATTGTTCACACCTTCGACGAATCTTCTTCAATGGCAAACGCTACGACTTTGTTAAATGCCACTGCATGCCGAGATAATATCCCATAATCTTAGTTGTTTGTTCATGCTTGCTCCTCTTCCACGTCAGGGCCCTTAAGAACGATCACACGTATGAATGACCTCGAAGCATCAACAATGACATCGAAACCTTTTTTATAAATGTTACCTGCAACGTAGGAAGCGTTGGCTATTCACGACAATGATATGTACAGCAGAATCTAATCCGAAATCCACAAGCCTCTGTTGCGAGGTGAGGACATGCTGCCGATCTTTGTCTAGTCATCGTCAGTGGAGAGCTATTCCAAAAACAATATGTAGATTATCATAGTTATGTGAGTTGTGTGCAGAACTTTCGCCCCAGCCGGGATTCGTACCCGGATCTCTTGCTTCCCGGGCAATTGTGCTACCAGTTACTCTGTAGTTACAGTTACCCTTGTGATAACTTTCGCAACGCGAACTGCGGTAAAACAGCAGGAATCCAAAAAAAACAAGAAAAAAACAAGAAAGTTAGAATATGTAGTTTATTCCCCCCTTGGCGACGCTCTGCCTGACCTTATTTCAACGCAGTCCGCTGTCTTGCTATACGTCACACTTTGGTTCTGTCCAAGCAACGGCATGATGTTCACCGAGGTGTTGATTGATGACATACCTTTTTTTACCTGGGGTGCATACCTTGCGCTTTGAATCTTCCTATCGAGTGGTCCAGTAACTAAGCGCGTGGCACACCGTCGCAGCATTGCTCCTGGTCATCCCGTACGAACATGCACCAGCTCTCGCAACTTTTGCGTAGTGTGGCCAGCTTAATGAGTGAGTGATTTTTGATCTTCGATTGTTTTATGCGCTGGCTTAAAAAGCTCGGACACTCTCTGAAGCCATGGCGTGTCAATTTCAATACGAATCATGTTCGAGTTGCTAATTTCAAGAATGCAAAACTTTTTCCTTTCCTCACTATGATACATATCACATTGTATTGAATCTAACCATTTTCTTTCATTTCAAAGAGAACTTTATGATAAGGAAAAGCGGCACTATTGCATTGTTACAGGTCCGCCAAAATTAATCGCTCAAGTTTTCGCCCTTGCAATAGCTGTAAAACAATGAAGTGGGACCTCGTTTTTTGAAATAATTTCACGAATAAAATGCCATCACTAAACTCAGCTTTTCATCTGAAGGTGTCTCTAGGACCGAGCACTGGTCTTTAGTTATGAGGAGAGGTCGCACACGGTGGCGCGTAGGTGTTTCAAAGAAGTTCTTCATCAGCGTAGAGCGTTATTAGATTTGCTGCGGCTGGTGGTAATGTTACGAGCAGACCTTGCTCTCTACAAAGCTCAACACGAAATACTCTACTGTGTTTAGTAAGTGCTTTCGATTGGCCGGTATTGAGCGCTGGTGGGATCAGGACTGCTGTTCCCGCATGCTGCGAGAACACCGTCAATCTACCAGCTAGTGCTGCACCCTGCTGAAAGACGCACGGTTAGGATCCATTGTGGAATTTGCACAAGAAAGCGTGATGTTAGTCAGTTCACCATGAACGACATTTCACTGCCGTAGACCAGACCACGTCAGATTAGGCCACACCATTTTTCGTACCACTTTGACATATTACGTGGAAGTTGCAGCGAGCGGTGTCCACTGTACTCAGCGACATTTCATAGCTGCGGTGTCCTTTGATTATTTGCTGACAAACTCCACGGTTATACTGCGCACTCATTGTCTTTCGGCTGTTGTTTTCCATAGAGACCTGGCACGATGAAGTAAGTGATTCTGACTCGGAGAAAAAAGTCCAACGATTATGGAAAACAGACGATGAGAGCTGTGATAGAAGAGGTGACAGCCAAAAAGCTGATCACCATCTGCTCGTTTATCGCTTATGAATATCATCTGAGCAAACGCTATGATTTCGTATTGATGAGTGGTCTTGAAGCTTCTGTAATTTACTATTTATTGGTTAGCTTTCGGCATAATGCCATCATCAGACCTTAAAATTACAACAATTGCACATGATCAACTAGTTACATTACAAAAACACTATACATCAATACATACCAGCGAGAAAAGGAGAGTGGTGGGACTATTCGGGGTTTGGTGGGAATGAAAAATGAAGCACCAACCCTTAAGCAAAGAACTTGGCTGATTACGAAAGAAGCCTCAGAAAGTCACGTAGCTCCTCTTTTGCGTTGATTTCAGGCTTTTTGAGCTTGACTATGGT